AGGCGTATGTGTGGCATGTGGTATTTCGGGGAACTCACTAAGCATTTATGCTTACAGTTGTTATGATATGTGTTTCAGGTACTAGCGAGGACCGTGGGAAAGCGCCGACATGATCCATACATACTTATGGAGTTTATGTTATTGAGATTCTGGGACATGTTTTTGTTATGACACAGTGACACATTATGTTTTGTGATTATCATGTGAATGAAAGTATGATTTAAAAATGAAAAATTGTTTTGAAAATTTACGTTGTTACATATTAAATATTTTCAATGTGACAATGGTGGTGAGTGTAATAATACTCGATTTCATAATATTTATGCCACCAATGACATCCAAGTTCATTTTTTCTTATCCCTACACTTCCCAACAAAACGAGAAGTCTCAATGTTTGATTTGTACTACCAACAACACAATCCTCACTCTTATCTTTCAAGCTCGCCTCCCTCCTACATATTGGACTGAGGCTATTTTCATGGTTGTTCACGTTCTCAACATCACTCCCTCCAGCACCATCAAACATATGCCCCCTTTGCAAAAAACTCTACAACAAAACCCCTTCATATTCTCATATTCGTGTCTTTAGTTGCCTTTGCTACCCTCATATTCCTACTCCTCATAAATTGTCTCCTCATTCCACCCTATGTATCTTCCTTGGCTATCCTACCCATCACAAAGGGTATCGATGTATTAATCTTCATACAAATTCCATTATAATTTCCCGTCATGTCACGTTTGACGAGATAATTTTTCCTTTGGTTCTTTCACAACCAATGTTGCTCCAAACTACTCTTTCTTAGATACATCTAATAATCCTAACATCACTACCACTAAACTCTTGTTCTATCCCTTTTCACAGCCTACTCATTCTTCCGCTACCCAGGTCTCCGAAAACTCTACGCCATCTACTGATGCTCCCACATCGTCCTCTGCCTCTACTCCCGTGAGATGTCCTCCTCCATATATGCTCGTGTCTACTTATCCTATGGTAAATCGGTACATAAATTAAATCTTCACACTCAAGATATATCACCTATTCCTTGTTCTTACTTACAAGCCTTCAATGACCCAAACTGGCTTAAAACAATGCAAGCTGAATTTAATGCTCTTATTTATAATAAAACTTTCGTTCTGGTTCCTAAACCTGATTGTGATAATATCATCAATTGCATTTGGTTATTTAAAATAAAGAGCATGATGATGGGTCCTTAGAATGATACAAAGCTCGCCTTGTGGCTAACGGTCGCAGTCAGCTACCTGGAATAGACTGAGATGAGACTTTTAGTCCTATGGTTAAACCAACCACAATACACATGGTTTTATCTCTTGTTGTCTCGCAACATTGGCCCCTGCGTCAACTTGATGTAAAAATTGCACTCCTTCACGGGTATTTGCAGGAAACCTTGTACATGTCTCAGCCACCTGGGTTCCACGACTATATTTCCAGATCACATATGTCTCCTTCAAAGATCTTTATATGACCTCAAACAAGACTTGATAGCATGGTTTCAACGGTTTGCTCACATTCTTTTGCAGTATGGGTTCACTAACAACAAATGTGATAATTCATTATTCATTTATAATATTCAGGGTAATCATACTGCATATCTACATATCTATATAGATGACATCATTCTTAAAGCTTCCACTAAGGAGTTACTGCATACGGTTACCAAAGTTCTTGGTTCTGAATTTGCTATGACAGATCTTGGAGATTTAGAGTACTTCTTTGGTATATCAATTAAGCGAGATTCTGACAGGATGTTTTTGTCTCAACACAAATATGCTGTCGAGATTCTTACTAGATCCAACATGCTCAACTGTAAACCATCTCGCACTCCTACTGACAGGTCAACCAAGCTTGATGATTTTGATCAACCACTTTTCGACCCTACCCTGTGTCGTAGTCTTGCAGGGGCCCTTCAATATCTTATTTTTATGAGACCTTATTTAACCTATGTTGTTAAGAAAATATGTCTTTATATGCATGAACCACGTGAATCCCATTTTACATCCCTTAAACTAATCTTAAGATACATTCATGACACCATTGATTATAGGTTACTGTTATATTCTACACATGACATGGATCTCATCGCTTATTCTGATGCCGATTGGGTTGGTTGCCCTAAATTGAGACGATCTATATTAGGCTATTGTGTCTTTCTTGGATAAAATTTATTATTTTGATCATCTAAACGACAGGGCACTGTTTCTCGCTCAAGTGCTAAGGCTGAATACCGGGGTGTTGATAATGTTGTGGCTGAGATCTCATGGATTCAGAACTTATTATTAGAGTTACACTCTCCTACCACTAGTGCAACCATAGTGTATTATGATAACGTTAGTATAGTCTATTTGTCCAATAATCTAGTTCAACATAAATGGACGAAACACATTGAGATCGACATCCATTTTGTTCGAGACAAGGTTGCTCTTGGGCAGATTCACGTGTTACATGTCCCCTCATTTTCTCAATATGCAAACATTTTTACCAAAGGTCTTCCAACATCTTTATTTTTAGATTCCAAGTCCAGTTTGAATGTCCGTTCTCTACATCTTGTTCAAATTGTGTGTGTATGTATGTGTGTGTGTGTGGGGAGGAGGGGGGGGGGGGACTATTAATGTATATTTGGTGTATTGTTTGTCCCATATTCTTTGTATTCGACACATATCATTGTACTGTGTTATATATAATGATCTAATGAGAATAATTAATTTTCATGGCAAATAATAAAGATTACATATACAACTACATTATGTATTAGTTGTCCGCATATAAGTAACTAATATATTAGTTATACATTTTTCTTTAAATATAAAACTAGTTGTAACATAATTGTAATATTGAAAAAAAAAAAAAAAGAATTCCCGATTATATTTAAGAGTATATAAATATTTATGTGTATTTGTAGAGAATATAAACTTATGGATTTTAATATATTTTAGATAATAAGAAAGTGTTAAATTAATAAAAAACATAAAAATGTAATAGTTTAGAATATGTTAAGTTTATTTTTCTTAACATAATTATCATAAAGTAAGATTATTACTCTAAATAGATGGTTGTATTATAAATTGAGATATTTTTTAAGTATTGAGAAAACTTATATAATCTTGGTCTAATCTCGACCAAGTTATTTCAATTTGATCGACACATGAGAGTGGGGATGGGAAAATAACGAAAGAACTGAATAGGAACTAAGCCAGAGCCAAATGTATCAGTAAGCGCGATTATTGATTCCTAATTTTAACGAAGATTCGTTTTCTGTCCCATGGTTCTTTGTTATTTTTTCGGGTTTGGAAACAACTTTTTTTATCTAACTTTAAATAACTATAACTTGCTTATACGAGCTCTACGTGAGCTGATTTTTTCAGCATTTAGTTTTCTATCTTGACTACATTTCGACTTTTAAATCACCTTATTTGGTTAAAATATTGGTTGAGTTACACAACCCTAAACACATGTTGTTAGGGTTGTTGGGTTTTTTTTTCTAGCTTTTCTGCATAATTTTATGTCCAACTTTAAACAAACATAACTTGCTCACACAAGCTTCGTGCGGGCCGATTTCCCCTTACCTTGTAGTTCTCTGTCTTGGCTACATTTTAGACTTTTGAATCACCTTAATTGGTGACCGAGTTACACAACCATAAACAAGGGCTATTGGAGTTGTTTTCAACACTTTGTAGAAGTTTTCCTTAAATTTAAACAACCATAACTTTTTTACACCAGCCGTGCTTGAGCTGATTTTTTTTACCCAATCTACAACTTTCTATCTTGGGTACATTTTAGGCTTTTGGATCACCTTAATTGGTTAATAATTGATTGAGTTTCAAACAAACCCCATAAATAACAATGTACTTTAGGTTCCAATAAGTTATTAAATTGAATTTTAGGTACCGTAACAGGAACCGTACCCTCCTATACGGGTTGGTTCTCAACTCTTAATATTTATATTTTTTGGTTTTTAGTTTTTTCGGTGTGTTTATATAAATGATTTATCTTCTATATTATATAATTGAATATTAGATTATATGCAGTAGTGATCCTCACCGAATCCATTAACGATCTTTAATAAAAATGAAATTGAGATTTCTTGAGATATTAACATAATTTTCTTATAACATAACAAAATTTTCTTATAACATCTATATTTATTGTGGTTTAGGCGAACAACCCGAGAAATAGACATCCACATGAACTACCTTATTGACCTCATAAACGATATTTATAAGAATCGATATGGAACATCGTTCCATGTAACCGTAGCAATAACATATTCTGGTTCATGTATTTGCTCATATAATCTCATTAACAAAGGAGCAATTTTCATTGTTATTGTTCAAGTTGTTAAAATAAGGATTGCTTATTTGGGACTCGACCTACTAGTCCACAGCAATCAAAGTCATTTTGTGAGCATATTAGTGAAACAAATTTAATGAAACAACCTGTACCAAATAAAAAAGACGCCCAATTTTCCTTAAGTTAACTCGTTCCAACATTTCAAACATACAATAAATCACAGTCATATGTAAGCTTGTAATTGGTTGTTTTTTATTTTTATAACCATAACTTATAATTAAAAAAAAAACAAATTATTTTATAAGAAATAAAAAAGCAACATATACCAAATCTTTTGATTTTACAATTAGTCACCAAAGGTCAATATATGTTCATGTTGATTTTTATTTTTTTATTTTTTTAATAATCTTACAATAAAAAATAAAAACATAAAAAGTTAGTTTTTCTTATAATAAATAAATTGTTTATATTATTTATAGTTTTAAAAATTATAATAGTGGATTATAAATTAAACTACTTTATTAAAAAATTAAATTGCAACTAAAAAAATATTTTTTAATAAAATTTAAATTTGTTTGAATCGTTATCTGATTTATTAACCTTTTTATTTTCGGAAATATTTAATTATAATAAAAGCATGGTGTCAACCTATTTGATAAATCAAATATCAAAACCTTTTTGCAATTTGAAGTGTATTATAATACCACTTCGTATCATCATCGATCGTCATCTAGAAGAGCTACTGCACTTATAAAAACCCACACTTACCCTCTCTAATTGTATCGATTATCATCCCTCTTATCCTCTGCCTCCAAATAATTTCAGCACTTCGATATCATGGCTCTGCTTTCGGATCTCATCAACCTCGACCTCTCTAGCATCACCGATAAGATTATCGCCGAGTATATATGGTTGGTACCCTTTTTCTATGCTTATCAAATCCCCTGTTTTTCGCCATGAATCTCTCCCTCTCTTCTTGGATTCTTCACAGCTTCCTGTTTTTTGCTATGAGTCTCCGAACTAAGTTTAGATTCTATATGGGTTTTAATAGCAGTTAAATCTTTATTTTCGTACATGATTTTTGCTAGATTTTGAATTTGTATCCACAGTTTTGTGTTTGATCATGGTGTAAACGTTAGATACATAGAAATCATTTGAACCAATGAAAACAAACTAATCTCGACTTGTTGGATCTACGAGATGGGTGATTGGGTGATCTCGAATCTGTACAAACACAGCAACTATTGAAAACGATTGATCCGATCTTCTTTTCCTCTCTTGTACTTCATCTCGTATACCACAATTGAAAAGTTCGGACTTTTTCGTCATTTACCGAATGTGTTAAAGAATCCAAAAGCAATTAGATCTAAAGGCTTAAACCATCAATCACATTCTTTAGTTTATACGTATCTTTTACTTTCTTGAATTTTTTCCACGACTTTTAGCTACTTTAACCACCATCCATTCTTCTTTTTGTTTCTTGACTAATCCCAATTCCAAAATGATTGATTTTCAAACAGGATCGGTGGATCGGGTATGGATCTTAGAAGCAAAGCAAGAGTAAGTAATCAATTCAACCATTCTCTTGTATTTCAGGCTTTCAGCTTCATTGTCATCTTCTTTTAACTAATTCGATACAATTTCTTCGATCTTTTTGTGTTCTTTAGACACTTTCAGGGCCTGTGTCGGATCCCAGTGAGCTTCCGAAGTGGAACTACGATGGCTCTAGCACAGGGCAAGCTCCGGGAGAAGACAGTGAAGTCATCATATAGTGCGTAGTCGATTCATAGTTCATACCCTCTAATTTTTAACTTATTTTTTCTTGATTTCTTGAATTAAAAATGTGTTCTTGATGATTGAAACAGCCCTCAAGCAATCTTCAAAGATCCATTCAGGAGAGGCAACCATATCTTGGTACGTTTTCAAGATCCATACTTTTTGGGTTTTATATTCAATAATCAATTAACTTTAAAGATTCTAACTTTCTAACCAAATTTCTTTATGTTCACGTAATGTAGGTGATGTGTGATGCTTACACTCCCGCCGGCGAACCAATCCCCACCAACAAGAGGGCCTCCGCCTCCAAAATCTTCAGCAACCCAGAAGTCGAAAAGGAGGTTACATGGTAAATCGACTAAATTCCCTTTCCACCCTTCAAATTTCTTTAAAAAATTTCAACTTTTTAACAAAATTTCATTACTTTTTGGGTGTTAAGGTACGGAATTGAGCAAGAATACACCTTGTTGCAGAAGGACACCAATTGGCCATTGGGTTGGCCTCTAGGTGGTTTCCCTGGTCCACAGGTAATCAAATCAATCAATCTATCAATCATTCTTTCCGTCTTTATGCTCATAAGTCATAAAAATGAATACTTTTTATTTGATTCAACTTTATATTCATCGATTCTACGTGATTTAGGGCCCATACTACTGTGGAATTGGTGCTGACAAAGCTTTTGGACGTGATATTGTCGATGCACACTACAAAGCTTGTCTTTATGCTGGCGTCAACATTAGTGGCATCAATGGCGAAGTTATGCCTGGACAAGTAAAGTTTCTGAATCTTTTGAGCAAAACCCATCTCCCTAATTCGCCGTTTTTCCATTTTAAAGCCAATAGAAGTAAAAAGTTGAGATTTTTATGTTTGTAACTTTGTATTGTAGTGGGAATTTCAAGTAGGACCTTCCGTAGGCATCGCTGCAGCTGATCAAATCTGGGTCGCTCGTTACATTCTTGAGGTACCTTAAAATCTTTCGTCTTCTTTTCTTTTATTTTCTTGAAGTACTTCAATGGTGAAAAATTAATCTTTTTCTTGTTTATTTTCTTCAGAGGATCACTGAGATTTATGGGGTGGTGGTTTCATTTGACCCCAAGCCTATTCCGGGTGACTGGAATGGAGCTGGTGCTCACACAAATTACAGGTATTGTATGACAAAATGCTTCTTGATTTTCCATTACAATGGTGGCTTTATCTTTATGACTTCATTCTAATTAGATTATTTACAATCTTTCAGTACAAAATCCATGAGAGAAGAGGGAGGATATGAGGTAATCAAGAAAGCTATTGAGAAGTTGGGATTGAGGCACAAAGAACACATTGCTGCATATGGTGAAGGGAATGAACGTAGGCTCACTGGTCGACATGAAACAGCTGATATCAACACCTTTTTATGGGTACTACATCATGTTCATGTTCATATAAATAATCGTTTTTTTTTTTAATGACAAAAAGATTGATATTGTGTATGAAAAACTTGTGTTTAGGGTGTTGCAAACCGTGGAGCTTCTATTCGTGTTGGAAGAGACACTGAGAAAGAAGGGAAAGGGTACTTCGAGGACAGAAGGCCAGCTTCAAACATGGATCCATATGTGGTGACTTCCATGATTGCTGAGACTACCATTCTGTGGAACAACAAATCTTGAAAAGAGATTGAAAATTATGAAGCCTGATTGGGAGGGAGATTTGAAAAAATGAATTTAGAATTGGGAACAAACAACCCTTCTTGTTTATTTTCTTGAAAATTAGATATTGTTCTTGTTTTTTTGTGTTGCATGTTGATCGTTATTATTATTATGGTAATGGTAGTTTTGTGTTTCATGTTTATGGTAGCAAAGCATTTTGAGTCCAAAATGCATGTAAAGCTACTACTTGATTTGAGATTTCTCCCATGGTGTCTCGTGGGAATATTGTCGATATTGTCTATGATAATAATAACAAATATGAAGGGTTGATTTTGATCCCTTGCATCTTGCTATGCTTCCATTTTATTTGTGTTAACATCATATGCATCCATAATACATTGTACTATATAGATACAATACAAGTTTAATAGATTGTCCATCTTAATTCCAATTTTCATATAAATTTACCATTTTTTCCTACGAAAGCTCAACCCAATTTAATTTTGTAACACAATCATTTATTTGCTAGTCGTCTTATAATAAATAACTTATTTTTTGTCATTATTAGTCCCATATATATTCAACGTCAATAATCAATGTGACATACTACAATGGTTAAATTTAATCTGCATTATGACTCAAATATATTCAACGTCAATAGTCAATGTGATATTAATGGTTAAATTTAATCTATTAACTAAGACAACCATTTCATTAAAGTGTGCACTTTTAGATGCTTTTGGTATATTCTAATATTTTCTTTTTATTTGAGGTTAATATGTAACATATATGTCAGTTCTTCAATACATATAGTTTCAACTTCAAGCCTTCGCCATGGCTACATTATGATCAACCAATATGCATTACCTCCACATATACTATTATGAAAAGGATAGTGTTTTGTCGACTTAGTTTGCTCTCTAAGGAATATTATCCATATATTTGAAGATTTCTATTAGTCTTGTCCTGTTTTGGTGATAGTTTTTTGGGATTTATCAAAAAAGTCTATTTTGTGCAATCGTGCTTTCATGTGATAAGACAGCCAAATCGATGACTACAATGTGGTAACAATGTGTGCAAGATACGTACAATGAAGGTTCGATATCGTTTTGTATTTAGGATTATCTTTGTCTTGTGTGCAAACAAAAAGCCGACTACATGATCCTTTAGAAACATTAATTCAAGACTTTCCGTTCATTCCTAAAATCTGAAGGGTCAACTTCTAACTATTTAATAGGATAGCGACTTGATAGATGGAAAGTGAACTTCAGTTCTTTAAAGTTTTTAGAGAAAACATGCGTTATTTATTATTTTTTATAGTTTGTGATTTGATTGTTTAATATGTTGCTAAAGTTATTCCTTACGTTGTCGAGAAAGAGCTTTGGTGTTGTAATGACGTTGGATGTTGGAGAGCACAAAGTATGTGTGGGCCTAAGTCCTCACACCATCATAGTTTTATGTCGAACAACATTTTTTCTTTCCTGACCAACTTTAATAAATGATGACAAAAAATTAAATGATAATGTTAAATAATCAGTTAAGGCCAACTCTCACCTTGTTTCTCGACTTGGTGTTTAGCTTAAGGCTTTTATTTCAGGTGGACTTTATATTTCTTTTATATGATATATTTGTAGAGGATTGCATGGACTATGAGATGAGGTGTGGTTTTGGAATGAGCTAAGATTATGAGATGAGGTGTGGTTTTGGAATGAGCTTTTAGCAATATCACATGTTTCCATTCATCTTTGAGATTGAGGGTTTAAATTCTGTTGAAACATAAATACAATTACAAGTAGTTAAAAAGTAAATTAAATTTGCCATTAAAAAATATGTATGGGTTTGGATATTAGTAATATTTGTGTATATTAATTTTGCTCTTCAGTTCGTTAAACCGTCAAAAGTTATGTTATTATTATGGTTATATATCCAGAGCAAAACTCAATCATTAACTAAGGGTAAACCTTATAAAAACCCTACACATTTTCATCTATTTTTTTATATAACCGCAATATTTTTTGAAATGTCTAATTTAAGGCTTTGAGACCGGTAACTCCGGACAACCACAAACGCTAGATAACATGTCCTTAAAACTTTGTTGGTTACAATCCTTTATATTAGAAAATTTTAAAAAGTATAAAGGTTATTTTGTTTGGATGACACCAAATTTTATAAAACCAACCAGAAAGAAGCTAGCAAATTACAAAAATAACATAGGATTTTGAAACCAGTTTAACCAGGTAATAGAAATTTCTATTAACTAACCAATCAAACGAGTTATCAACAATTAACTCTATGGGAAGAAGTGTAGGACCCCGATCTGTTGGGGAGATGTCGGTCAGCGAATCATGGGGAGTATTGTGGTGGTACTCAAGACGACGTAATTGATTCAGCAGGTCCGTGGAAAACTTCAGACAACTCAGAATCGACAGAAGTGTTACACAGACAGACGCCGGTTAGACTTGGCATTTCAGGTTGGGGATATGGTACTCCTCAAGGTGCCACCTTGGAAATGTGTCATCCGATTCAGGAAGCGGGGTAAGCTGGGCTCCAGGTATATTGGTCATTTCAGAGTGTTAGCCCGGGTGGGCAGGGTTGCGTATCGTTTGGATCTGCCATCGGAGCTCAGTCAGATTCATAATACTTTTCATGTCTCTCAGCTGTGGAAATACTTGATTGATGATTCCACAGTGGTTCCATTGGAGGACATTCAGGTGGATGACTGCCTGAATTATATAGAGAGACCACTGGCAGTCCTCGACAGGAAGTTGAATACTCTGTGAAACAAGGTGGTGGATCTTATTAAGGTGCAGTAGCAGCACCGAAAGGGTTCGGAGTGGACGTGGGAACCTGAGTTGGAGATGTGGGAGAATTACCCTGAGTTGTTCACAGCAGCGGACTTCGAGGATGAAGTCTGATTCAAGTGGGGGAGAATTGTAACATCCAGAACCCTAGGGTACTTAATTTCTTGATTTTTTGGCCTTTTGTAACACTCCAAATCAGGTAATCATTCTTTTCCCTTTAAATGAAGTAAATTTTGCATAAATGGTCCCTTTTTGTATGCTGGGCATACTTAAGTGTACGCTTAGCGTACTATGGAGGAAGGATCGCGTAGGAGCATCGCGTACGCGGGGCGTACGTGGATGATGGCCAAACCCTAAATTTCAGACTTGTGGCCTATTTAAGCATCCTTAACTCATTTGAGCATAACCCTAGCCAGCCTCCATCACTCTCAATCGTCCCTAAAACCCTAAAATCATTAGTGTGTGTTTCTTGAGCTTGTGAGTGCCTCTAATATCATATTATTGGTGTGTTAGCTAAAGGGAAGAAGTGGAAACAAGCTTGAACGAGGGAAAGGCTTATGGATCTTGCATTTAGAGCACCTTAGGAAGCTTGAGGAGGTAAAAAGCTTTCTCCTTGGTTATCATTGTCATTTATAGAGCTAGGGTTTTCTATGTAGTCCCCTTTTTAGTTCATGAATCATTTCTTGGGAGTTTGAGCAACTCCAGGGATTATAGGTGATAGATCTGAGGTCCTTTAGCACATTCATGTCATAAAAATGCAGACTTGTTGGTTGTTGTAACCCCATGCATGAGTTAAGACCCTTGGAAAGGTCTTAATGGGTTGTAAAAGGATTTTGGGAGCATATTGGACATGCAAAAGCATAATGTTGTCAACTTTATGCCTTAGGACTCTTCAAACGACCTAGATCTGAGTTTGGAACGTAAGGTCTTCATGCATTAAGCACTTATTAGTGGATGTGCTTATTTTATTTTTACGTTGGGTGTACAACCAAAGAACCTTGTACGCTTAGCATACTCCTGTCAACGGTAGGCATATGCTCAGCTGTGTTAGTTGGGCCTCAGTGAACTTTGTGAACCGTTGGACTTCCCTTAGCCTTGGGTCTGAATCATTAGGATGGTTATGGGCCTTGGAGTTTGCTTTAGGTTATTGGTGTGTTGATTGGGCCTTATTGGGCCATGTGGCCCATTATAAGTTGGACTTGATATTGGACCTGATGCGACATCGACCTCCGGCGAATCTTCTTGTCTTCTGCTGCGGTGGAGATCTGACATCACAGTGCAAAGTCGTTAGAGCCGTCCCAGGGACTGTGCCCTGGGAGCGGACTCCGACGGTCAAGTTAGATCAGCTAGAAGATCTGAGATGGTTCTCCATAGCCGGAGGGAACCATCTTGGTGCTAGTGGTGGTGTATGGTGGCTGACGGCGGAGGGTGGCGGCTGAGCCACCCGACCGGAGTATAGTGGCGGCTGAGCCAAAGGGAAGGATCTAATGGCGGCTGAGCCACCTGGGAGAGAGTCCTCCTCCAAGGAGGAGGCACTATTCTATTTATAGTGGACAATTAGGTCAAGGGGAATTGGGGCAGGCCTTGGGCCAGCCCAATTCAGGCCAAACTAGCAAGGAGTTGGGCAAGGCCGCCCGGAGGCGCCGGGCGGGGCTGGCGGGCGCGCCCCAGGCAGGGCTGGCGGGCGCGCACCAGGAAGGGATGGCAAGGGAGTGCCAGGCGAGGGAGCGCCTGGCTGGGAAGGAAGGAGAGTCCCCAACAGGGCTGGCAAGGGAGTCCCTAGCAAGGCTCGCAAGGGAACGCCAGGCAGGGCTGGCAGGAGCGCGCCAGGCCAGGCTGGCGCGCTGGAGCAGTCTAGGCCATGCCAATGGACCATATATCATCAAGTCCCCCCAGTCTGGTGTTATTGGTACGCGGCCAATGACATCGGACTGGAACTAGTCATATAAACCAACAGGAGAGTCCCCAACGAGGCTGACAAGGGAGTCCCCAGCAAGGTTGGCAGGAGAACGCCAGGCAAGGCTGGCAGGAGCGCGCCAGGCTAGCCTGGCACGCTAGAGCAGTCTGGGCCATGCTAGTGGACCATATATCATCAATTCCCCCCAGTCTAGTGTTATTGGTACGCGGCAAATGACATCGGACTGGAACTAGTCATATAAAATGTGCGTCGTCAAGTCCCCCTAGTCTGATGCGATTGGGTTGCTGATAATCGGATCGGACTAGATAAAGCACCAAAGCATTTAAATAATAGAGAGAATGACCGAACCTCGCCCACGAGAGCCGTGGGGTTGTGCGATGAGCCAAGTACTGCTTGAGCTGACTTGATACTCCTTCATTGAGAGGAGTACAAGCTGATAA